GAGCGAGGAGCGAGGAGGAGGAGGAGGAGGAGGAGGAGGAGGAGGAGGAGGAACGAGGAGGAAGAGGAGGAGCGAGGAGGAGGAGCAGGAGGAGGAGGAGGAGGAGGAGGAGGAGGAGGAGGAGGGAACGAGGAGGAAGAGGAGAAGGAGGAGCGATGAGGGTGAGCTTGGCAGAAGGAGAAAGGAGAAGGAGGAGGAGGAGCGTGGAGGGAGAAGCAGGAGGAGGAGCGAGGAGGAGCGAGGAGGAGGGAGGGAGGAGGAGAGGAAGAGGAGGAGGAGGAGGAGGAGGAGGAGGAGGAGGAGAGGACAAGAAGAGGAGAAGAGGGAGTATGGGTAGCAGAAGTAGGGAGATGAGGGGGTTAGAGGAGCGTAAGAAGAGAAGGAGGAGGAGGAGGAGGAGGAGGAGGAGAGGAGAGGAGCAGGAGGAGGAGGAGAAGGAGGAGTGCAGCACCAGCTGAAAGGGGGCCAACCGGAGGAGAAGGAAGAGGCGGAGGAGGGGGAGGAGGAGGAGGAGGAGGAGGAGGAGGAGGAGGAGGAGGAGGAAGAAGAAGAAGAGCAGAATCAGGAATGGGGAATGGGCCGGGAATGGCCAGATGGAAGATTTGGAGGAGGCGGAGTGAGGAGGAGGAGAAGGAATGGAGGAGGAGGAGGAGGAGGAGGGAGGAGGAGGAGGAGGAGGAGGAGGAGGAGGAGGAGCAGGAGCAGGAGCAGGAGGAGGAGGAGGGGTCTGCAAGCAATGTGGAAGGAATGAGGGAGGAGAGAGGGAGGATGCAAGGCAGAGAAGGGGGGAGGAATGGAGGGATATTTGGGGAGGGAGGGGGGGGGAGTGGCAGACGCAGCAGGCAGGCGGGGCGAGGGAGGGACGTCGGAAGGCTGGCGGGAGGGAGCGACAGACAGCACAGCGTGCGCAGCAGAAGGGGAGCTCAGGACCCGCCCGTGTCCCGCACACCGGGGACGATGCCGAGGAGAATGGCAGAAGCGGGGGGGGGGAATGGATGGACGGAGGGGGGGGGGGGGAGGGGGCGGGGGCAGGGCGGGGTGGACCAGTGAGGAGGGAGGAACAGAGGGAGCGAAGGCGGCGCGGGCGGCCACGCCGTCCCGCCTCCTCGTTTGCCGCATCGTCCGCTGCCTCGCCTCCGCCGACCTCGTCCTCGCCTCCGTGCTGCCTCCGCCTCGCCCTCGCCGGCCTCCCGGCGGCCCCCGCGCTCGTCGCCTCGCCTCGTTCCGCCGTCGCCTCGGGCACCTCAGCCCTGCCCCGCCCCCTGCCCTGCCCCGTCCTCCCTGCCCCCTTCCTCTTCCCGACGCTTCCCCTTCCCTCGCAGTCCCCCTCCCCCTCGGTCCTGCTCCCGTTCGTTCCCCCTTCGCGCTCCCATTCCCTGATACCCCCCGCTGCTGTCAACACCGCCGTCCCCACCGCCGACGCCGCCGTCGTAGTCGCTGTGGCCGTCGGAGTCGCCATCGCCGCCGCCATCGCCGCGGCCGTCGTCGCCGTCGTCGTCGCCGCCGCCGCCGCCGTCGTCGTCGTCGTCGCCGCCGTCGTCGTCGTCGTCGTCGTCGTCGTCGTCGTCGTCGTCGTCGTCGTCATCGTCGTCGTCGTCGTCGTCGTCGTCGTCACCCGTCGACGTCGTCCTCTTCGTCGTTGTGGTCTTCGCTGCCACTGCCGCCGCCGCAGCTGTCGTTGTCGTTGTGGTTGTCGTCGTCGTTGTCGTCGTCGTCGTCGTCGTCGTCGTCGTCGTCGTCGTCGTCGTCGTCGTCTCCCCTCGTCGCCGTCCTCTTCGTCGTTGTGGCCGTCGCTGCTGCCGCCGCCGCCGCTTTCGTCGTTGTCGTCGTCGTCGTCGTCTTCGCGGCCGCTTTGCCGCCGCCCTCGTGAAGCCTGCGCGCCCGCCGCAGCCGCAGCCGGAGCCGCAAGCGCCGGAAGAGCCGCAGCAGGGACTCGCCCGCGCGAGCGCCCGCCTCTTCCGGAGAGCGGCAGGGTCTGGATGCCGGGGGCCCCTCTCCCCCGCCTCTTGTCGTGCAAATTCTCGGAAAGGGCCTATGCCCAGGGTTTTCTTTTAGTTGGTTTACTCCCGGTTTTGACGGCTGTAGGGCCGGCGAATTTCTATTGCGATCAATAACGAGGTCGCGTAGGGCCGGCGAAATAAAATTTGAGGATGTCCCTAGCGAAACGATTGTTTTTCAGAATTTGCTGAGGATGTCTCGAGCGAAACGCTGGTTTTGCAGAGTTGAGGGGTGTCTCGAGCGGGGGGCTCGTGGGGAGCCAGAATTCAGAGGATGTCTCAGGCGAAATGCTTGTTTTCACGTCCCGCGCGCAGGAATTCCGAGGATGTCTCGCGCGTGCCGCGTCCCGCGCGCATGAATTTCGAGGATGTCTCGACTATTCGCTCGTTTTTCCAGGATTTCATTGGCCACACAGGGGGGTATCTAAAATGTTCTGCCCGAGCTGGAACCACGTCGCTTAACGTGTCCAGGGCACCCAGGTGGGTATCTCACATGGTGATCCCGAGCTGGTACTACGTTTTCCCGTGTCCAGGCCACACAGGTGGGTATCTGACATGGTGGTCCCGCGCTGGAGCCACGTGTTTCACCGGTCGAGGACACCCAGGGGGTGTCTAAGATGGTGGCCCCGCGCTGGAACCGTGTGTTTTCACATGTCCAAGCCACTAACATGGTGGTCCTGAGCTGGAGCCACGTGCTTTTACTTGTCCAAGCCACCCATGAGGTCTCTAACATGGTGGTCCCGAGCTGGAACCACGTGTTTTCACGTGCCCAGGCCACCCAGGGGATATTTAACATGGTGGTCCCGCGCTGGAACCACGTGTTTTCACGTGTGCAGGCCACGCAAGTAAGTATCTAACATTGTGGTCCCGAGCTGGAACCGCGTGTTTTCACGTGTCCACGCCACCCAGGGGGGTATCTAACATGGTGGTCCCGAGCTGGAACACGTGTTTTTAGGTGTCCAGGCCACTCAGGGGGTATCTGACATGGGCCTCCTGGATCCTTCCTGGGACTCGGACCGGAACGTCGAGAGTTTATTTGTATGTGGTATCGATTCGTTTACTTGTTGGCCTCTAGGCGTCTCTGGGCGTTCCTGGGCCCTCCTGCGCTCCAGACGACCGCATGTTAGATATCCCCCCTGGTTGGGCTGGACCACGTGTTTTTACGTGTGCAGGCCACCAAGGGGGGTGTCTAACATGGTGGCCCCGAGCTGGAAACATGTGTTTTCACTTGTCCAGGCCACCCAGGGGGGTATCTAACATGGTTGTCCCGAGCTTGAACCACGTGTTTTCACGTATCCAGGCCACCCAGGGGGGTATCTAACATGATTGTTCTGAGCAAGGACCACGTGTTGTAACGAGTCCAGGCTATTCAGGGGTGTACAGCATGGTTTCCCGAGCTGGCACCGTGTGTTTTTAGATGTCCAGGCCATCCAGGGGGATATCTAACATGGTTGGCCCCAGCAAAAACCACGCATTTTAACGTTCCGTAGCGCGTCCCCTCGGCACGTCCCGCGGTGCGTCCCCGTGGCACGTCCCCTGGCACGTCGCCTGGCGCGTCCCTTGGGACGTTCCACGGCGCGTCCTCCTGGCATGTTCCCCTGTCAATTAGCTCTGGGGCAGCTACTATGTGCTGAGGCAGCTCGAGCTTAAGATCCAGATCAGTTCTGTCAGGACTTGGATGCAAAGGAGGACTCGATCCACAACGCTATAGAGCACAATCACGGCATGGCACATCGCAGTTCAGCACAGCGCAGCACAGCACAGCCCTCGGCACGGTACATCAAGATCGATACACTCAGCATTGCAACTTGGCACGTTCCGTGGCGCGTCCCGTGGCGAGTCCCCCTGGCACGTCGCGCGGCGCGTCCCCTGGCACGTCCCGTGGCACGTCCATTGGCACGTTCCGTAGCGCGTCCCCTCGGCACGTCCCGCGGTGCGTCCCCGTGGCACGTCCTTCGGCACGTCGCCTGGCGCGTCCTTTGGGACGTTCCGCGGCGCGTCCTCCTGGCATGTTCCCCTGTCAATTAGCTCTGGGGCAGCTACTATGTGCTGAGGCAGCTCGAGCTTAAGATCCAGATCAGTTCTGTCAGGACTTCGATGCAAAGGAGGACTCGATCCACAACGCTATAGAGCACAATCGCGGCATGGCACATCGCAGTTCAGCACGGCGCTGCACAGCACATCCCTCGGCACGGCACATCAAGATCGATGCACTCAGCATTGCGTTTGCCCGTCGCCCAATCAGGTGTCTTTGAAACGTTGCCATGCCTTACATTTCTACATTCCTTTCCGGGTGCGTGGGTCGATCATGCTTTTTTCGTCGGCGGCGAGGCAGAATGGCTGCACCAGCGATAGAGCTGAACGGGGGCTCCGAGAAGCGAATTGCTCAGCGTGCCGGAGGGGGGAAAAACCGACGACAGGGCAGCCGCGGAGGAGGCAGGAGGAGGGGGCACTCAGAGGCGGCAGAATTCCAAAGGCGCTGGCGCGGCTGGCCTCGTCAGCGGGGGCCATGGCAGCAGCCTGGCCGCAGCACCGGGGCACCCGCGGGCGATGGTCGTGCAAGCAAGTGTTAGACGTTTCCCCTAACGCCGGGCCGAGGTATCAGATCGAGGTCGTTTCGGGGAGGGTACCCTTGATGCTTTTCGTGTCTTGGATGCTCTTGCGCATGCTGGAGGTGGATAACCTTGGATGTTCTACGTATGTATTTTAGCAGACGGAGGGCCTCAAGTTCGCGACGGATGTTCTTCTGTCCCAGCTCCGACCGTATCACCACAGCCAGGCACTCCAGAAATAATGTCCAGGTGAGTTGCATTGATCAGGTGAGTGTAGGAGTAAGCAGTGGTGCAGGGGGGGCAGCCGTCAGAGCGAGGCTCGGGATCGTGAACGGATCCAGGAGGCAACAGTCAGTGCCTTCTCAGGTCTTTCGAC